AATAGAATGAAGAAAGGGGACGCACGAAGTACTCCTCCCGAATGTCGAACTTCTTCCGACCTGCAGCGAGCCCGAGCTCTTGCTCCTTGTTCACCTATGCAGCGAGTCGGCTCAGGAAAGGTGGCTAGAGAAGAAGAGGTGGGACGAGCGCACCTGTGTGACCTTCTTGTCGTGGAGGTCGTACCGTGTCTGGGTGAAGGTCTGCATCGCGTAGCTCGCACCGACGATGATGATGACGAATGGCACGCCGAACAGGGCAGGGTACTTGCGCAGCACACGGTGCACAGGGGTGGACTTGAGAGGGTTGGAAGAAAAGGTAGGCATGACGGAGATGAGGCTACGACCAAGACATGTATGTGCGGCTCGAGTCCCAAGTCGCCCGGACGTTGGGCAGCGCTCGATATGAGATTAGATCGTGTGCAAACGATGCCGGGCGTTCCCGAGAACGCTGCGCGCACCGGATGCGGGCGAATACGATGGTCTACAATGCTGCAAGGTAGAATGCATATCGATCACTGTCGCCGTGTGCACATTGTCGATGTGTGAAAGACATGCGACCAGCACGCCTTGTTTCTGATACTACTTCTATTGAGATCCGCGCATGGCAGTAGGGCACCGGGTGTCGTCACGGTGTATATAAAATACCGAGTGGTTCATGAGTTACTTCAAGCCACCGCGGCCTTTCAAGACTCTTATCGCTCTCGATTCTTTATTCGACATGTCACTCTTCTCCGCCGTTACGGGCCTCGCCCTCGTTGCAGTCGGCATCGCGGGTCTCATCTCCTCCATCGGAAAGGCCTTTAGTTACTCGAGGCTTAAACCTAACCCAGTCATGGCCGAGGTTGAGCGCCGCCTCACCGAAAGCCAGCCGCCCTTGCAACGCGGAGTCCCCAGTAGAGCAGAAGGCGTGGCACAGCCCATGACTGCCATTGCAGACCAGCGAAGCAAACAGGGCATGGAAGGCAAGGAAAGAGAGCGTACATCAGGGGAGCAGCAGAGTGCGCGGACAGTAGCAGAGGCAGAGGCAAATGCGGAGCGCACCGAGCAGGAGAAACGTTACGCAGCGGAACAGGAACGCCGGAGGGCCATCCAGGACTCGCTCGTAGAAGCTACTAGGCTGCAAGAGACTGAGTGGAAGCGACAGGCCGCGGAGAACCAGGCTGCGAAGGCGTTGGCTGAGCGTGACCGCGCGGAGATGAAGCTTCGCGAGGGAATCCGGCCGGTTTTGATGCCCACGCTGAACGAGTTCAAGGAGACGAAGAAGACGTTGGAGTACAAGGAGGGTTGGTTCCACTTCGCTGTCGTCGGCATAGCAGGTACCGGCAAGTCCTCGCTGGTCAACGCCCTCAGAGGCTTGCGGAACAACCGTCGAGGCGCCGCTCAGACCGGGACTTCTGAGACGACAAGGATCGTAACTCGCTATGCCGACGCTAGCGACCGCCCGTTCGTCTGGTACGACGTCCCGGGCGCCGGGACGGTGAACGTCCCAGACTGGAAGTACTTCGTCGACCAAGGCCTGTACATCTTCGACGCGATCATCGTCCTCTACGGAGACCGCTTCACGGAGACCGACATCGCGATCCTGCGGAATTGCTCCCGCTGGAAGATCCCTGCGTACATCGTTCGTTCGAAGGCGGGTGTGCATATCAAAAACACCATTAGCGACTTCCTGGACGAAGATGACGATGAAGACGAGCCTCAGAGTTATCTTCTATCCGTGTTCCGAGGGCAGGCTAGCCCACAATACATGGAAGCTATGAGTAGAGCTCGCGGCCGGTACATCAAGAACACTCGCGAGGACGTCGAGCGCAACCTTGCGCAGGCTGGGTTGCTACAACAACGTGTGTACATCGTGGACAAGGACGCTCTGACGACTGTTGTGAGGGGAAAGGAGCATCCGGATCTCATTGACGAGCAGGAGCTGTACCGTGACCTCCTCGCCGAAGCGGCTAGCAGGCGCATCGTCCCAGAATGACCTAGCAGTGCGTACTCTGCGCCAAAGCAAGAATGAGATGTTCTAACTTCCGTAGATAGCTCACCGGATAGCTGATGAGTGTCAGCGGTGTTGTTTTACAAAATTCCCTCGTTATGTATGTGATAGCCTTGTGCGTTTGTAATAGGACTACAAGGTTGTAGACCAATCTTGTCACACTAGCGTCAGCGATCTGCAGGAATCATCGAGCCCTTAGCGCTTACCGAGATGGTATAAACTTGGAAGTAAACACACCAATGACTTGCAGCCAATGTTGGGCAAGTGACAGCGGGTGTCGACTTGAACGTTGAAGCCTTGGATGGTACATGATGTTCAAGCCACAGGCCATCGGCGAATGCCGGTCAATCCTGCGCGCTTGTCTCAACATCAGGTTGTGTCCTTGAAGAATGTCTCCTCTCTCTACTCTTGACCCCATCTTAGCCATGGTCAGCGTCCAGCTCAACGTTGAAGCCGTGGATGAATTCATATAAGTATGGGCCTCGCCATCGATGAGCGTTCCATAACGTCCTGACTCACCGCCCGGGCCCGCCGCCACTGCTGAGGCCGTGATTCCATTGCAAGCGTGGGACGAGGCTGTGATGTCTCCCACCAACGCGACTCACCAAGGATCTCAACCACGCTCGAGCTCTAGCAGCCGTGTTCCCCGTGGCTCAGCATGCACACACTGCCGCAGACGCAAACTGGTTGGTCAGATATGGACATATTCTCGCATGCTCTCTCTCGTCTGACACCGCAATGTCAGAAATGCGACACTGTCAAGCCGGCCTGCGGACAGTGTACCCGTGCCAATAGAGACGATGAATGTGAATACACAGATGGCTCGTACACCTCCCAGGCTCGTGTCTTGGAGAACGATGTCACGCGCTTGGAAGAACGCATACAACAACTCGAACACCCGTCGACGCGCAAAGAGGTTCCTCAAGTGGATATACCATTTCCACCGCCGGCCATGCCCCCCGTGCCCACGCCTCGTAAGACACCCTCCTGGCATTGCCATCGGAAAGCTGAGTTTGTTCCGTCTAGCTACCATACCAGAGGACCCTCCAGCAGAGACCGTTCAGCTACTGTGAGGGAAATCGCATATATCGCGTATTTCAACTCACGAGACTGGCTCTTTTCAGGTTGCAGAACTTCCTACCTCATGCCGAGCAGGTCGGCTTCTTCATGCACAAGGAGCGTTTCATGGAAATTGCGTCCTCTGCTGATGCCCAGCATCGCATGGCCCACCTATCCCGGGCACTGCTTAACGCAGTATACCTGTATGGCGCCCGTCTCTCTTGCATCCCCGCTCTCACGGTACATGAACCAACACTGCTTGCGCGCGCCGTAGAGGCGGTGTCCTGCGATCTGGCAGGACATGGTCGATATCCGCTCATACAGACCATCCAGGCCGAGGTCATCCTCGCCAACTACTTCTTCTGCGTCGGCCGCATGCTCGAGGGAAAGTACCACGCCAGTGCCGCGGTGGCGCTGGTTCTCAGCGCGCAGCTGCACAAGATCAGACCTTTGTCTCCCCCCGACACTCACCCACCCGCTGACTCACCACTTGATGGCATTGAGGAAGGGGAGCGGATCAACGCATTCTGGACCGTGTTTGCGCTGGATAAGGAGTGGGCTGTGGTGTCGGGAACGCCGTCACTATTGGACGGTCAGGACGGCCCAGTGGCAGTGGACACGCCGTGGCCGCTGGATATAGAAGAATACGAACACGTGAGTGCTATCGCCCACCGACTGTCCTAGGCTGATATTACGTCAAGCCTGGGTTGGCGCCTGAGGGTCGGGGTTTGCGATCAGTGCATAACTTCCTGCATGACATACCTTCGACCTGCACAGGAGGGACCTCCTTCCTCGCAATGCGCGCCAAGGCTGCCGCCGTGCTGGAGCGCGCGACGCGCCTCGCAACAAGTGTGCCGAAGTGTACGTGTGGACAGTTACGCGTGTTGGGATCTCATCTGATTGCTATCAAATAAGTGCCCGGCATGCAGCAAGCGGCGTACGCGGAGGAGGTCCAGCGGTTGGCCCATGTCATTGAGAGCTTCGTTGCGTCCTTACCGAGGATACACCCACAACTTGATACCAGGACAATATGCCACTTACTCGTCATACATACACAGGCACACGTCGCGATGATCCTGCTCCACCGCAACGCGGTTGAGGAGAATGGTATTATACCCCAGCAGTGCCTCAACGCCGCACGCGCTGCCGTGACGCAGGTCATTGGACAGGTCGAATTGAAGCAGCTACTCTTTGTCGATCCCATAATGGCAGTGAGTGATCCGATTCAAGGGTTGTGTGTACGCAGCAACTGTCCTTTCTCGCAGCCATTGTGGACTATCATCATCAGGCTTCTCATCGGTAAGCGATGATCAGAAAGTGTGTGTCGCAGAGGCTGAATCTGTGGCAGCGCGAATACAACCGCTGGGTCTACTCGAGGCTGAGCGGGACAGAGTACGGCTTATGATAAAGAAAACTGTCTCGGCGATCGGGAGGTTCTCTTTAATATCGCCGCTCATGGGTGAGTTTCTTTGATTCGTATGGCTACGATGGTCGGTGGGTGCTGATGTCGCGCATAGCAATGGAGTTTTCGCGACTCTAGCTTGAAGCAGGGACATCAGGGATCCGTGGGTATGCGGAGTGGCGGCCTGTCGCGGCCAGATGTTACATCCGATATACAACTCTGCAGAATAGCAGCAGACTATGCACGCATATACTCATCTCATCTATCAGCGCGTCTGACGCGACAGATAACTGCATGCGTTATTAGGTTCATCATAGTGTCGTCGTAGGCTGATACTCACCGGCACCTCTGAGGTCTCGGGTCCCAGGACCACCAATATTGTTGTTTCCCATCCCCCACTGCTATTGGGTGGCGGTTGAATATATGGGGGCACCCGAGTGTGAGTGTGTATTGCAGCCTAGCCTTCTGGTAGACTTGTACTACCGAGTTGTAAAATAGCATGCAGTCGGCCAGTCGGTAAAATCAGCAAACCATTATGTCTCAGTCAAATGGATAATCAGAGACTTGAACTCTGGACCTCACGCAGATTCTGAGTACGAATGCGAAGCGTGCGCGCTACCACTGTGCCAAATACCCATACTAAACATCGATATAGATTCCTGGCCAGCGTGAAGCGTGGGCGTGAAGTGAAGGTCCGGCAGTTCCAATTTATCTAACACTTATAATTTCAACGGTGGCACCTCGATTCACCAGTCTGTACTTGGGCCTGTGCGAGGTCTTCACAAACCTCGCCATGCGCTGCTCAGGCTATAGTGAACTTTCGTAAGGTTCTGCGCGACGCTCGCGTGCGTCTCCAACATGTACTGCGCATTCGCCTGCGCCTTGAGCACGGCCCGCTCTTCGTCCTCGATATCGTCGCTACCCTCCACCCTCCCTGATCTTCGGCAATGTTATCAATGTGCTGTCTCGCCTTCCATAGTGTATAGGTCATGCCGCTCATGACCGTGCAAATGAACTTCAATGCGGCACGATGCATGTAAGTCAGTGTGAATGTGACTCGCTAGGGCATTCGCAAGTTCGGAACGAGAACACAGACCGTGTATTATGTGATCCAGGGCACTTGCCCTATTCCAAGCCCGCGCGAGATGCGCCTCGAGCTCCGTGTAGTACACGAATAAATAAGCATAGTACATTTGTATACAGCGCGACTAAGGGATGAAGATCCTCGAATATCCTTCGACACTGAAAGATCATCAGTCAGGGTTGTGTCCTCGACCGGCGGAATGCGACGCACCTCCTCCGACAGCAGGGACATGTATGCTTCGACGCAGAAGATCGTGATGCCAGGTTCTCGCGGCAGTCATTACACAACGCGAGGCATCTGCGCAGGCACTTCATATCAGGGACACGCAAAAGCAAGCCCCGCGCGGAGAACCTACCGACACGGCCAACAGATGACGTCCCGCAGCTCAACGGTACAGATAACACAGTTCCGGCGACTCTCGTCTTCTTCTGCAGGCCGCTCAAGCACCTTCGCTTCCCTCCGTTCCCGTGCGAACTCGCCCCAGTCCTCGACGCTCCCGTCGTCTGAGCTTCGCTCGGAAGCCAGGCTCCGGTATCTGCGGCGTGTCAGAGGCGTGGTCGAGGTGGATGCCAGGTGTGCCAGCAACACGGGTGCTGCACCAGTGGAGGTCGCTACATTCTGGGACAGGTCCGCGAAGAGTGCCGCTGTCTCGTCTCCATCTCCTGTGGGCTCGTCGCTCTCGTCGCCGGGTACATCATGGGTGTGATGGAACTCGTCGGAGGCCGGGACGAACTCGTCGTCGTCGTCGTCGCTGACAGACTCGCCACGCAAGAATCGGCGGTACGCATCCATGTCTTCTGCATCATCGTCGTCTTCAATCAGTTCCCTATGATGGGGCACGACTGGGGCCAGTTGCGGCGTACTGGTCCTCGACCGTACCTTGGCCCACAGGGCTGAAAAGACGCCTGCGACGACACGTCTGACAGCCTTTACCACGCTGAGGAAGAACATCAGCACGGCCTTGTGCCATCCCGCGTTAACCATCGTGTCTGCCCACAGGTCCGACCGCTGTCCCTGCGCCTTCACACTCGTTATATCGTTCAGGAAGCCACGCTTGGGCACCCTGCTGTGACCCTTGCGGGTGAACGCGGGGGTCAGTGAGACAACGCCAGACCGGTCGATTTCCACTACGCCGCGGTCCTCTTCATGGGGACGTGACGCGAGTTCTGAAGCGCCGGCACTCGTCACACCGCCCACTTCGTTGCCCATACCTGCCGCGCTTGTCGCCTCGAGACTGGCCGTCCCGAGCCGCACAATTGCGACGCCGAAGTCTTCGTCCATCCTCGGCATGAGTGTGTCAATGTGTCCAAAGAGGGGACGCGTGACTGCGCCCTCGAGGAGCAGCTGCGTCGCAACGTTGAGCAGTGCCGAAAACGCGATCAAGCAGACGAGCATCGACTCGACGACACATGAGAAGAAGTTGGTGAGTGGATATAAGGTTGGGGATGTCCAGATAAGGGCGTGGAAGTGCGTCAGGCTGAGCAAGGAGCAGAATGTGGTAGGAATCAGACGGAGACGCGCCCAGCTCTTCTTTACTTCCAAGCAGTGCAGTAGGGTAAGCTGTCGTAATTTGATGTCAGCGTATAATTCTAGGTACGGGTAAGAGAATGAACGAGAAAGAGTATAACCACGCATATACACGGGTAACTCTTGGGCTATGCCAACGGACTGTATTCGCGCGACAACAAGACTGATGCAACAACCAGACTCATTTAAACTAGTGTCTTATTCCTTCGGCGATAGTGCCGGTGTATGGCCGAAGACCGATCATGACAACATGACTCGTGGACGTACAGACCTGTAATAATGGCAACATGATAGTCAAGATAACATGTTTGCTGGGCCTTGAAGGCAGGTTGCCAAATTTGTCCCCATGAGTCGATGGTGAAGAATAGATGTGTAGTTGGAAGGCGAACGAGAACTAGACACAATTAAAGGTTACGCGCAGATCGGCCAGTGGACCACATACCAGATTGAAGGGCGCGTTGTGATTAAGATGAAATCCCTCGAGACCACTGGTGAGAGCGCCAACGGCCAGCGCGAGACATGTGCTAGTGAACGTGAACCAACAAATGTCCTCCATCTCCTTGTGAGCGGCCCAACCGCCGACGGAAGCTGACGGGCTCCAAGAGGGCCAGAGCTTCGCCGCTTGGAGAAGCAGCACCGTCCAAAGGAGGAGAGCCTTCGAGAGGAAGTAGATAGAAGGTATGCGGAAGGCGGTACGAGATAAAGTAGATGATAGATCGACGGGGAAGAATAGCCCGAGGAGCATACGCAGGAATGACAGTCGACTATTGGCGTGGCGCGCAGCGTGGAGACGGGCAGCAAGGGGGTTGCGCGGGGGCACGACGATGTTTTGAATTCGGTTCAGAACAAGAGCCTGGCCGTATCAGCTGTTATGCTCTTGCAGGAGCGAGCGAGCAATGCTCACCATGACGAAGAGCCCGAAGAAGTAGCCAGAGGTTACGAAGGCCAACGGGCCAGGCAACGGCTCCATCGCAAGGCCTAGCGAAGGGGTTCCATTCCTGGATCCCTGTGCGTTGCGTGAGGTCGCATCGATGTCTGCGTTGAGCACATCGTCCAGCCGGCGGACGCGAGCGACGAGGCGAGATGGCAGTCTGACAAAGCGGGACGCAACCTTCAGGGTGGCATTGAGAAACGACGGCGAGGCATCGACGACATTATTGTCGACTTCAGGTGGATTCATAACTTAGCGAGAGGGAGGAGAGCAAGAAGAGCATGTCAGAGGAGACGAGACGAGACGACGCTGACAGTCACCCTCTTGATTGCGGCAGGCGTCCACAGCCACAGCGTCAATGAAATGGGCGTCCATCCAATTGTTGAACAACGTGGCCACAATCGTTCCTCTTTCCCTTCCTCGACGGCAACATACAATACAAAGGTCATACACAACAAATACAAGGACCCGACTATAGATTGATAGTCGTGCATTTTGTTCGAGGCTTTCAAACTCGTCGAGGCCTCAGTAGCCGAGTCCGTCAACCTGACTTGCCCTTCGACGCGTAGAACTCATCCAAGGTCATCGTCGGTGAGTCTTCCTCATTCTCGTCGGGACCAACGACCTTGAACGTATACTCGCCGCTTGAGTCGGTCGACTGTGAGGCAGACTAGTCGCTCGGGTAAGTACTCGCGTACCGAAGAGTGGACAAAGCAGACTTACCCGGGGCCTTCCGACCTTCGTCTGAACAGTCGGCTTTTTGGGTGCGGCGGTAGCAGTGGCAGACGTGTTGGTTTCGGTGCGCGGCATGGTGGTAGGTATAAGTAGGTGTGACGGGTTGCGACTGTTGGTGCTACTGAGACACGACTGTGAGCATTTGCAAGAAGGGAAGATGAAGCTATGCAGACCTGTCGGTATGAGCGGGGAGGAGTTTAGGTATCTGCGTGAACAGAGCCACCTTTTATGCATCTCGCCGCTCGCGGGGTGACACGGCTAGCCCGCCGAGTGGCGCAACAAAACGTTGACACGCATTCAGCAAGTCGATAGTTACTAGCAACGCATATTTTCATCGGGTATATAGTTACACCCGAGGTTATCTTCTGCTCAGCTGCGCTAACATAGACTTGAAGTGTTTAAAAATCACCTTCGCCGTAAATTGTTGCACCAAAGTACAAGGCTTCGTCAGGGTGGCAACGGGGTAGCGGACGAGGCGGCGTCGATAAGCTTGGCGCACTTTGATGACGACTAGACCACCAAAAAGACAAAGGAGGACTAGCCCCTCGTTAATGCCCTTACCAAAAGTCGATCGCCGACATAACAATGCGCCCATTGAATATGGAACTATCAATGCATTCAACCCATGTTCCATAGCCTACCGGTACACTGTATAAATTGTGGAGACCACCGAGTGCACCGCCAGTGCACTGGGTCGCACATCACTATCGAGCCCACTCGTCTAGGACTGCTCTTAGGGACATTCGTGACCTGAGATCATTTGCCACTTACTACCGTAGCCTTCGTTTCTCGCTTGAAGACTTATTCCCCTGCCGCCACCGCCACCGGCTGCCAAGTAAGCTAACGGTAGACAGTTCAGCCTAAGCAACGAGTGTTGAGAAACCCACCATCACCGCGACTAAGTCCTAGATAGTATTCACTATACAAATTGCTGCATGGGGACAGGTTCTCATACAACAGACCGCGTAGCGGCTCATCAGTCTACCGGCACTGTCCTATGTCGAAGGAGCCTGAGTACTGAGAGCGACATGATACAGAGGATCACTTACTGTTACTGTTAGACTATTGTACAAGGTCGTGATAGTGCATGCAGCAATATCAACATTCATTCTAGGGATGCTCATGCATTTATATCGCACGGGGGTATACGTCGTTGAAGGCCTTCATCCAGGGTTCGCATTCACTGAGCAGCGCGTCCCCGATACCCCAAATTCTGCCATTGTCGCTCCAAATTGTAGTACCGGAGTATGAGGTGACCGGATGAATTAATCAAGAGGGGCATTGATACGGACCTTTGGGACTGGCCGCTAACCGGGTCGCAGTTTCGAGCCTGCAATGAGGCCGAAGGCAAGGTAATGT